CGACACAGGAGGACACATCCCCATCTTGATGATGTTTTTAGTGATAAGTAAAAAAATAGAAGTGCGCTTTGCATTAACGATTATCAGCAATAATGCATTTATTGAGAACTATATATTTCTTAATGAAGGTAATATTATATAAATGTAATTTTTTTCTTTAGTCTACATTAAGTTATGTGTGGTATTTTAAGAATATTTTAATAAATTCAAAACTACCTTTTTTTATTTACATGGTTCAAGCTAAGATCTTCCGAATTAGAATTTATTGGGACTGTTAAAAATCTTTTTAATTTCTGCAAAACACTTCTTACTCTTTTAATATTTTTTAGTGATTTAAAAACTGTACTTAAATTTGTTTTTTAAGAGTCGCAATAAACTTTTCAATCTATCAAAGCATTTAATGTTTAATTGAAATCAGTTACTTTCACACTTCCTTAAAATATACCTATCACCTACTTGTTTTAACGAAATAAATTTAATGAAGAAACACTTGTCAATCTAATTGCATGACCATATGAATTTTAGAAAATAATTATCTAATATACATGAACAAACTCTTTTAACTTCCTGAAGTAAATCATAAAATTTATAAGGTTGTTTTTTACATATTTGCGATAGTAAATTATGAAAATTCTTAAACGCACGAAATTAACGTCGGAAAAATGAACGTCATTTATGTTTTTCTTATACTAAAAAGTTAGCCTAGTAAGGTATTGGTAAATTAACATATTTTTCTAGTATCTTTGCAGAGTTTAAAATTATAAACACAAACACATCGTAGCTTTAAATTATCGTTTGATTCTGCGAAAATACGTTTTGACAATGGAGAATGTTTAAAATTCAAAAGCCTAATTTTGATCAAATGTCTTATACCTTTCTAAATATGTAAAAATAAATTGTTATAAGAACAATTATTCAGTAAAATTATTATTTTTTAATCTGTTACATTTCTGAATAGCACCACTTTTCTGATAATAATTGTTTATTAAGGAGAAAATTTTACTGACAAAATAGGTTCCTAAAAATACACCAGATAGAGCAGAGCAGACAATTCCAAGTTTTCTCTCCATTGGAATATCCAGCATTCCCAAAGCAGGTCTTGGAATATGGACTGAAATACCATTGCCGATTGGAACAGTTTTCGGACCTTACAAAGGGAAAATTATAAAAACACAGAAAGAGGCTGAAAAATCTGGTTATGCTTGGATGGTAAAATTAGTTACATTTGAAAATGTCATTCCATTTTTCAATTTATATTTTTCATTACTTTCTTGAAAAAAATGCAATAGTTAAGAATATTGATTTTTATTAGCATATTTATTCTAATTACATTAAAATTTATTAATACCATTCAAAACTAAATGTATATAAATAAAAAATACTGTTTAATTTAGTCGGTAGAGTAAATTTAATATTATACTCAGTATTTAGTTTAGTACGTGAGATTATGAAAAAAATGCAACCTTGTGCAAAAATGAAACTAATTTTACACATATTTTTTTTATAAAATTGAAAGCTCCTTTTAAAATAAAAAAAGTATTCTTAAAATAACTCTAACAATGATATTATTCGAATGGACAAAAATATGAATAATTCTCATAATATTTAATACATTTCTATAAGAGTATACCTTTCAATTACTATGAACGTACTTGCCATATTTTTAAAGTCTGTTAGGTGTAAAAATAATTTTTTAAAACTCTGAACACAAAACAGTTCGATTCATACAATTTAATTATCCGTCCATAGTTAAATTTTTAAAAAAAATTCTGAAGTACTTTTATTTGATGTGAACATTATGACACACTATACATTAAGTTTTATTACCATGTTGATCAATGTTTACTTCTTTTTGCTTAGGTATGGAAGGGAGAAAAAGTGGATCATTTTATTGAGGGATTCAAGAAGGATATTTCCAATTGGCTGAGATTCGTGAACTGTGCTGATAAAGAAGAGAAACAGAATTTAGTGGCAATCCAGTACAAGAAGCAAATCTATTACAAGACTTACAGAGAAGTGTTACCATTTCAAGAGCTTCTGGTGTGGTATGGGGGAAAATATGCCTCCGATCTTGGAATAAACTTGAAAAGGGAGACTGAAACCGACCAACCAAGTATAAATAATAAAATCTATATCTTAATTGTCGGTGATGGTATCGTTTATAATGTTTTTATTTTTAATCTAAGCATTTTGTAGTTTAAAACCATAAAATTTTTATATATTTAGAGTTTTAGACTATGTGCTACTCTAGTCAAAAACAGCCGTGATGCTTTTCTTTTTTAGAAGATTTAAGTTTAGGAAACAAAAACTTTTAATATTTATAAGCAAAATGCCTTTATTATAAAAACCTAATTTTAATTTTTTACCAAATGTTTTTTTAAATAATTTGATCGTCTTTGCATAATTTTAAAGTGTGACTAAATATGACAAAAATAAATAAGCTCATTAATTAAATGAGTCTCAGGCTGCGAAATTAAAACAAATAATCTAAAACAAGTATGAATCTTCCCAAATTAAAAAAGTATAACTTTAAAACCTATGATGTAAAAAATCTGAAACTTGATGTTTTTTTATCCATTCTGCTAGTTCAACCTTCATGTCAAAATTTGGCTGAAAACGGTCAAATAGTTCCTGAAAAATCGAATTGGCAAGAACACAGCTATAAGAATTTGATCTCTCAAGAACTAGTCAACCGATTTCATTAAAACTTCACATTTTACTACACAAAAATTACATTTATTAAAATTTTATAGAAATAGTACACTTTACAACTCGAAATTTTTCGGACTATTGTTAAGTAAAATTATACAAAATAATAAATGGTTATTAAAAATAGTTTTTGTGCAAAAATATTAATTAGAAAATCAAATTTCATAATAGGGCACCGTACTTGTTCAGTGAGAAAGGGCTAATTAATAAAATAATAATGCCCTCTTATGAAATTTATCACCCATTTATACATCCATTTATGTTTCTTGAAATTTGATCGTTTTTGCCCGATTTGACCCTAATTATATTATCTGTAAGGTTTCTATACCTGTGCACTTGCACTATGAATCTTTTCTATCCTCTCAGATGCTCCTTTAGGGTCAGGGCTTCATAGGAATATTAATTAATGAGAAAATTTCGATAGAACATTTTTTAACGTGTGTATGCTATCTTCTTTTCATAAGGTATTTTCCATTTTAACAAGAAAATTAAGAATTACTTGATGAACAATTATTCTTTTAGTTTAATATATTTTTCCATAATCTTATTTAGTAGGCAAATTAATTGAACATTTAAAGTAGTTTTGTTTGAAAAAGTGATATTAAATTTGTTCCCTTAAAGGAAATCATAACATCAAGCAGGCATTCCTTGCGTGTAATTTATATCATACCACTTGCAATGCGCCGGTTTTGATTTACAACTTCATTGGAAACACCTTATGTAAGATATTATTCATTTTCGCGAGTAAAATATGTTTATAAATATGAAATGTTTAAAACTAATTTCTCGTAGTTGATGTTGTAACTTAAAATCTGATGCACATTAATTATAAAAACTTTACAAATTTAGCTTCTAGAACTATTACTACTACATCTTGGTACATTTAAATCTGATCATTTGATCGAAAATAAATAGGTTGTTCCCTTTCTTTCTTTTTTTTTCGTTACTCACCGTAGCGTGCAAGTTTGTCCTGAGTACTTCATAATGTACTTATTTTATTTGAAAGAAAAAGCATAAATGCTTTGTATCCATTAAAAGTGATAGTGACTTCGTGAATTTATTATTGACAAGAAGCCAAAAAAAGGGGCTTTCAAGACCATATTGAGTGAGTGTTGTTACAAAAGACGTTTCAATCAAGCACTCATTCTGTTTTAGTGACTAGTATATAATAGTTTTTTGTTTAATTTTTGTTATGTTTTGTATCTTGATTTACTCTAAAAACAGTTTATTTTATAGGTGTAGAAGGTGTTGCATGTGATGTCTGCAGTTCATTGTTCACATCCGTGGAGGCCATGGAGCGACACAGGAGGACACATCCCCATCAGGGACACGATCGAAGGCACCGATGTCCCCACTGCGTCTACTCCACCAACAACTCAAGTGATCTCCGACATCACCTCACTACTCACACGGGTGAGAGGAGACACGGGTGTCTCCACTGCCACAAGACATTCACTGAAAAAGGAAATCTCAAGAGACACCTGAAGATCCACAGTGGAGAGAGACCCTTCTCTTGTGGAGTGTGCGGTAGAGACTTCACTCTAAAAGGACATTTGAAGAGTCACGAGAGAAGTCACAGCGGCATCAGACCTTACCGATGTTCCACCTGCGGAAGAGATTTCACACATTCTTCATCTCTTCACAAACACATAAGAATCCACACACGGCAGAGACCCTACAAGTGCTCCACCTGCCAATACAGGGCCACCTCATCTTCTCATCTTAATAGACACATTATTCAAATACACACAAAACAGTTCCCCCACAAGTGTGACCTGTGTGAAAGAGGTTTTCTTCTACCGAGTCATCTTAAACGACACAAAGAGCGCATACATCCTCAATTACAAGTAATTAAATGAAGAATTGCACATAATGTCAACTTACCTTTATAAAGAATGATAGATAGAAATCATCTTCGCATACAGTTTGAATTAAAAATTGTGTCATAAACGTAGAATAAACAATGAAATATGAAGTTTGTTTTTTATTAAAATGAACTCATATTTTCCATTGATACGTCTTCAAAGCTTAACGTTTCTGGTCCTCAGCTTTTATTCTAATTCTTAGTTTAAGCTTTCTGAAACAGCAGTTGGAACATGTGTAGCTGATTTAATATTCGTATATATAATGATGCAATATCGTGTATTTTCTTTAATTCTGCATTAAACAGAAAAATGTTTAGAGCAAATACCTTTCATTGTTACTTAAATTTGTTAAGGATATTTCATATCACCATACTTGAAGGACTATTTTGCATTTTAACTTTAAGGATGTGTTTCTAGAACAGGGGTCATGACCCGCATGAAAAATGGAGACAAATTGGGAAGTGATCGCGTAATTAAATATCAGTTACATGTACAGTCCCTGGCCAAATTTTTAGACGCCCTACGAGATCCTATAAGAAATCCTAATTACCAGGTGATATTATACAGCTTCATTGCTGTTATTTGACTGAAACAGGTTTGCACTCTTTTACGTTAGTGTATCAATTAGTTAAATTAGACGATATATAATATAAATTTGACAATAGGATAAAGTAGACGAAATATTATATATAGAATATCTTTCACATCAAGCATTTTATTAGTATATTACAATAATTAGATCAAATTAATAGACACACTGTAGTTTTTTAATAATGACATGATTTGCACGAGTTTATATGCAATACTTTCGTATTTAAACATACATGTAATGGGTTTTTATTCAAAAGATTTTTTATATACTTTATATATATAATTATTTTCAACGTATTGCATTACAATGTTAATCAATTGATACAGGAGTTGTAAGCAAATGCAAACCTGCTTCCTCCGATTAAAAGCAATACAGCTGTATAGTATCACCTGATAACTAATCTTTAACATAGATTCCTAAAATGCGTCGAATAATATTGCCAGGGGACTGTAAATGAATAAAAAAAAACACATTTTAACAAACTCTTGACAAAAAAATTTTTTTTGAAATAAATTACAATATAAGCTTATGTTGTGTTGCTGATTACATTTTGCCTTGCATTTGCTGATTACGTTTTGTCTATATATATTATTATTGAGACTGTTGGATTTATTATCGTATTAAATGCTTGTATTTAAAAGGCTCCAAGTTAGAAAAAAAGTGAAAATTACTCGTGAAGTAGTTATTTCTTTTTTCTTCAATATTAAAATTTCGGAGGTCCAAAAAATTAAAAAAAATTCTTAAAAGGAATAAGAAATTAATAAATCTACACTGAGGAAAAAACTCTTGCAAAATTAACGTAATGATAAAAAAAAGTATGTTTACAAAACAGACATAACGGTATTTAAAACATCCATTTGGTAATTTTCCCGCTTGTACGGTAATGGTGTACCAAAAATTCTGATTTTCAAAAGTTCTTTTTACCATGTATTTAGTAAAAAATGCAAAAATGAAAAGTAAATATAACCCAATAAATCTTTTGTATACCATCCACGAAATTTTATAAAAATCATTATCGCTTCGGTAAAAATTGGAGGCATAAATATAAATTACTACCTGAATATCTTTAGACTAAGCATAAAAAAGTAAATATACAATAAATCGGTATTTTTCAAAACTACGAAATAAAGCAAAAATCTTCAAGTCATATACTGTCACAATTCATCCTATGTGGTGCATTTATGTTATTAGATGAAGCAAAAAAACGGAGGAAAAGTTCTAGTGAAATGATGTATCATAATGACGCTTATGATAAAAAAAATATATAATTGTGGTTTACAAAACCTACATAACGGTATTTAAACCATCCATTTGGTAATTTTCCCGTTTATACGGTAAAGGTTTTCCAAAAATTCTAAATTGAAGTTTTTGTTACCTATTTAGTAAAAAATGTAAAAAGTGAAAAGTAAACTTACCCAATAAATCTTTTGTATACCAAGCACGAAATTTCATAAAAGTCATTATCGCTTCCGTAAAAATTGCAGAGTTTTTTGGTGTTCCTATAGAGCCAGAAGTATGGTAAATTTCAATAGAGTCTAGTAGTTTTGTACCTACTTTTTTTCTCAGTGCATATTTTTTGTTTATTTTGTAAGTTTTAAGGGGCAAAGTTAATATATTTAAGTAGAAATTACTGATTTCTGTGTTAATGAATTATTAATTTTTATATATATTAATATATTTAGGTAGAATTCTTAATTCTTAAAAAGTAGCACAAATTTGATTCTATTTGTCATTATTCTATGGACACCAGGATTCAAAAGTAAGACATAAATATCACATAAAACGGAATTAATTTCACTTCTTTTAAGCAAACTTATGTCATAAATTATTTCTATTAAGGGGGTAATTTGCCATTATCAATCCTACATGAAATACAAATACATGAGTAGTATATTTCGTAGTTATACTCAGTAAAAACTATCTAATAAAAAAAAGCAAATGTTCACAATTGGAGAAAAAAATTTTAAAATTTGCTATCGTTGTGAACGATTTGTTTTATTTGTTACTAGCCGCCAAAGGCGGCCAGCAGTCCGCCACGCTAAAGGTTTTCACTAATGAAGTTTCTTAAAACATAGCAGGAAATCTGAAGATTAGTGGACAATTAAAGTGTTCCTGTCCTGCAATTTTGTCTTCATATCCAGTTCTGCTGCAGATGTGTTATAGCTCTTGAGGATGTTTGAAATTATATAGCTACAACGCTTAAGAAA